AGCGGTATGACGGCTGCGTGGTCCCATGGTGTTTATACTTGCGTACTATTGTTTGTACAGATGAACGTGGTACCTTCAGGCGTTTGGAAATTGCTCCCAAGGATGAACCAGACTTGTGGAGGTCTACAATTTTTTTTCTGAGGTCTTGGCTGATTTCTTTTGATTTTCCCATGATGTCAAGCGAAGATAGACCTTGAAATACATCCACAGGTACACCTCCAATTGACTCAAATGATGTCAATTAGCCTATCAGAAGCTTCAAAAGCCATGACATCATTTTCTGGAATTTTCCAAGCTTTTTAATGGCACAGTCAACTTAGTGACCCACTGGAATTGTGATAGTGAATTATAAGTTAAATAATCTGTCTGTAAACAATAGCTGGAAAAACTACTTGCCAAAACTATAGTTTGTTAACAAGACATTTGTGGAGTGGTTGAAAAATGAGTTTTAATGACTCCAACCTAAGTGTATGTAAACTTCCGACTTCAACTGTAGGTATATTTTAGCAATTAGATTTACTTTTGATACTTAAGTATATTTAAAACTAAATACATTGACATTTACTCAAGTAGTATTTTACTGGGTGACTTTCACTTTTACTTGAGTCATTTTCTATTAAGGTATCTTTACTTTTACTCAAGTATGACAATTGGATACTTTTTCCACCACTGTTTATTTCTATCAAGACAAATATTAGCCACTATCAGTATCGACCATCAGTAGGCCTAATAACAACACATATTCAACTACTGTTGTTCCCTTCAGTTCGTATACAGTGCCTTGCAAAAGTAATCATCCCCCTTGGCGTTTTTCCTATTTTGTTGCATTAAAACCTGTAATTTAAATTTATTTTTATTTGGATTTCATGTAATGGACATACACAAAATAGTCCAAAATGGTGAAGTGAAATGAAAAAAATGTCAAAAAAATAAATAACAGAAAAGTGGTGCATATGCATATGTATTCACCCCCTTTGCTATGAAGCTCCAAAATAAGATCTGGTGCAACCAATTACCTTCAGAAGTCACATAATTAGTTAAATAAAGTCCACCTGTGTGCAATCTAAGTGTTACATGATCTGTCACATGATCTCAGTATATATACACACCTGTTCTGAAAGGCCCCAGAGTCTGCAACACCACCAAGCAAGCGGCTCCATGAAGACCAAGGAGCTCTCCAAACAGGTCAGGGACAAAGTTGTGGAGAAGTACAGATCAGGGTTGGGTTATAAAAAAATATCAGAAACTTTGAACATCCCACGGAGCACCATTAAATACGTTATTCAAAAATGGAAAGAATATGGCACCACAACAAACCTGCCAAGAGGGCCGCCCACCAAAACTCACGGACCAGGCAAGGAGGGCATTAATCAGAGGCAACAAAGAGACCAAAGATAACCCTGAAGGAGCTACAAAGCTCCACAGCGGAGATTGGAGCATCTGTCCATAGGACCACTTTAAGCCGTATACTCCACAGAGCTCGGCTTTACGGAAGAGTGGCCAGAAAAAAGCCATTGCTTAAAGAAAAAAATAAGCAAACACGTTTGGTGTTCGCCAAAAGGCATGTGGGAGACTCCCCAAACATATGGAAGAAGGTACTCTGGTCAGATGAGACAAAAATTGAGCTTTTTGGTCATCAAGGAAAACGCCATGTCTGGCGCAAACCCAACACCTCTCATCACCCCGAGAACACCATCCCCACAGTGAAGCATGGTGGTGGCAGCATCATGCTGTGGGGATGTTTTTCCATCGGCAGGGACTGGGAAACTGGTCAGAATTGAAGGAATGATGGATGACGCTAAATACAGGGAAATTCTTGAGGGAAACCTGTGTCATTCTTCCAAAGATTTGAGACTGGGACGGAGGTTCACCTTCCAGCAGGACAATGACCCTAAGCATACTGCTAAAGCAACACTCGAGTGGTTTAAGGGGAAACATTTAAATGTCTTGGAATGGCCTAGTCAAAGCCCAGACCTCAATCCAATTGAGAATCTGTGGTATGACTTAAAGATTGCTGTACACCAGCGGAACCCATCCAACTTGAAGGAGCTGGAGCAGTTTTGCCTTGAAGAATGGGCAAAAATCCCAGTGGCTAGATGTGCCAAGCTTATAGAGACATACCCCAAGAGACTTGCAGCAGTAATTGCTGCAAAAGGTGTCTCTACAAAGTATTAAGTTTGGGGGGGGTGAATGGTTATGCACACTCAAGTTCTGTTTTTTTTGTCTTATTTCTTGTTTGTTTCACAAGAAAAAAAAAATTCCATCTTCAAAGTGGTAGGCATGTTGTGTAAATGAAATGATAGAACCCCCCCAAAAGTCTATTTTAATTCCAGGTTGTAAGGCAACAAAATAGGAAAAATGCCAAGGGGGATGAATACTTTCACAAGCCACTGTACATTCTCATGATCTACATTATTACTCCATTTCATTACATTGCTTCCTCTGTAAACACCGTCACGGCCAGGTGTTTTTTGCGGAGGATCATTAGTAACAGTTGATATAAAAAAAGACATTTAAGCAAATTAAATCGTTTAGGAGTGGAGAGCAGACCAAGCAGTAACGGTTTAAACGCGACGCATGGCACAATACTTGGCTGTGTCATCGCACAGTTCCATGGTTTGTGCAGGCAATAGACGAGGGTATAGCCTACCATTGTACTCTATTCTCCCTATTATAATTATATGTATACCAATCTTCCAACATCACCATGGGTTAAAGAACTGAATGTGGTCATTTTCAGAAAGAATCAAAAACCACTTTTCTTTCGTGCATAAAGGCTCTCCAAACCTGTTTATGATTCATAAATACTTTCCTAACCCCAATTAATCTACAAGATCAGAGCATTTTGAAATCTACCACTTGGTGCTGGAAGAGACGAATATGCATATATTCAGATGGCTTTCTTTCATTGACCCCTAATATTCTGAACCCATTCTCTTGATATATTCTATTGAGTCTGTCGACAAAATTCAAACTAAAAAGGGTACACCGTATTTAAAGAAATGGCTTAAGATAAATGTACTGAAAACCCTATTGAATGAAAACTCAACAAGAAAATCTGTTGGCCAGCAAGTGGGACGGTTTCAGTGGTTGAATTACATTTATTCAGCGCGCGCAAGAGAACCAAGCCTGCAAAGCCCGTTACGCACCTTCATAAGGTTGAGGATTTGTTATACAGAAGCTGTTCATTTCAGGATGTACATAGCAGGTATAACAATTAATCGAAGTAACCAAAATACTATCCATACATTGTTTTTTGAAACTACTTACTTACAAAAAAAAGAACAAGCAGGTAATGTGGTGACTTGAGCAAGCAGAAGTACAGATAAAAATAAACAAATATAAAAAGGTCACTTTTAATTATAAAACCCCAAAGAATTTATTTGATGAGATCCCATCACCACTCACCCACACCTACTGAAGCTACACTACTGCATTAGATCGCTGTGACGTTGGGGTGAGATAATCATCGGTTAAAATAATCACTCTGCGTTTTAGAAACGACCACAGTCAGAATCCCCTTATAGCCCAATATTGTTACAGAGCATTATTTGAGTACTTATAGCCCCCTATAGATAAATATCACTTCAGTCAACAGTACACATGTTGGTCATGATAAGGATGTCAATGTGGCCCCAGACATAATAAAATACCAAGTACCCACATACATGTACAGTACATGAACACGCGGCAGACATGACACATACAGTACATGAACACGTGACAGACTCCTGTCACAGGCAGCGTGACATCAAGCCTGTGACAAAATATAAAGGTCTTGTCTACGTCGAACACGCAGCGATGGCAGGGGTTAGAGCATCATAAAAACATTTCTGTACATCATTTATTTTCAGCGTCCTATTTGACATGATCTACTGCAGGACTATGGGCGGGTGATTAAAAATACAATTACATTATTTATTTTCTTCTGCTGCTTTCTGGTGTCTTCTTTCATGACAATGAGAAAAGGAGGAGACTAGAAGAAGCAACAGAGATTTACAACATCTATGGTGATCGTATTGGCCCCATGATTAAGCAAATAAAGGCGTTACACCAAAAATGTGGGTAACCCCAGGCAAACATACTGTTTTCAATAACACATCTTCAAAACCATCCCAATTCGGTTTCTTAGCATTATCTGATCTCTGCTAACTAAAGCAAACAATAGTGTTCCAAAGAGAAAGAAATCACTGCAGCTCAAACCGTGTCAGAGTTCTCTCCGAACCAGCTACACACCAATCAATTCACCACTGGTCTGTACTATTACCAAACTGATCCAAAGTGCTAGTTCCCCAATCAACTTCTGGAAGTGGCATTATTTAATCAAAACATAATAAATCTCCAGTTGTGTTTGTCATCATGCTAGTTCCAAACTTGGGTCTAAAAGTTACTTTAAGCAGTCATAAAAAGAGGACCACAACGTCACCATACGCACATAAAGCCTGGGGTTCATTTCTACGTCACCTCTATCTTTAGTGATCTTAATATCTATACTGCGAGTGATACTGTAGCCGCCAGGTCTCAATCGATACCATGGAAGTTTGAATACATGTCAGAGGAAATATTTCAATTTAAAGTAAATTAACTAACAGGTGCAAGTGGGGCAAAGCAGCAAGAGTTCCTGGCATCTTATAGAACCAAGAATTTAACTAGCTATTATAATGGGAGTAGTGTTTTTCTGATGTCCTGCTTTACAATGAAAGGCCTTTCTGTCATAGCAGGGTTCGCCCGCTCACTTTATCTCTCTCTATTGCGTAGCCGAGCCAGGGTGAGTGTTTGTCCGTGACTCTTCTTTTATTCTAAGTCCTTTATCAGGCTGAAGCCTCTTCCCAAGGAGAGGAGCGAGAGAAAGGAAGACGGACAGAGACAGCTGAAAGACCTGAGAATGTCCAGCACACTTGAAAGAAGCACCGTGATCAATAGAATGACGGAGCGCGAGAGAAAGAGGAATCAGAAGTGATGGAGGGATGGGGAGAGACAGTTTGGTGTAGTGGGCGGGCTCATTGCCGAACCTCAACGTAATTGGCTGGGAAGAGGCCGTAGGCTCCCCGGCACACGCCCCTCCACCAGCCCTCGTCAATCATCTCAATGTTAGTGATGATGTCATCAGGGTCGAAGGAGATCTCGTCATCACCAGCTGGAAGGCAGACATTCCATATCAGTTTACTTTGCATTCCACTGCCCTCATATTATAAAGAATGTCAAAAGGGTTTGTTTATATGATAAATGTGTCTGAGTATTGTATTATATATTGTATCTATTGTAGTACTGTATTTTTGGGGTAATTATGAGGATATATTGATCTTAAAAATGAGGGTTTTGATAGATGTGATGATCAAAGTATAGACTATAGAGGGCTTGCCTCCACTCACCTGCTTGGTAGTCATACAGGGCCACTGCGGTTACCCCCAAGTCCTCCCCGTACTCATATGTCTTGGCGTCTGCAGGGAAAAGGTCACAGTTCATTCAGAGGACACAGGAAGACAAAACACAATGGGAGATTGTCAATTGGGCAAAATTCGGTCCTCTCCTTGACTCCTCCGTCCTCCTCTCCCTCTTGGCCTTGAAACCGATAAGTGGTCACCATATGTGGGAGTGTCAATTCATTAATAGGTGAACGGAGGAGTTTGTGCCTCTCCTCGATAGCCTTTTCCGGCCGAGGATACTTAAGTGTATACTATCGGGAAAAGTGTTGTAATCCGCCACACCCCCTTTGAATCAGCTGTTGTTTTCACGTAGGATGAACAAATGCACACCATTAAAAACAATACTCTAGTAATATTTTTATCAATAACATCTCTGGCACTAGCTCTCCTATTTTTAGTACTTTACACATATTTAGGGATTCCTCCTCTGTAAACGTAATTTGCCTGAAACGCGCTACTGGAGAAGGAGAGTCATTTCATGCATTTGTTTCCACGTTTCCTCTATTCCCCTCCGCACTTCCTGCTGAAAAATGTCAAAGTTAATCGAGGAGAGGATGCAAGGAATTGAGCAGATCCAATCGAGATTCTCCCAATGGCTCAATCTCAATTGCTTAAAAATATGTCCTTTTCTCATCCTCTCCCCTTCATTTGCACTGATTGGAAAATACTTGACAGGTGAAAACAAGAAGGTAGAAACTCTCATTAGGCTGGCTTTCACCTGGTCAGTTCTTTCAGATCAGTGCAATGAAGGAGGGGGACAGTGACTCAGCAAATGGCACTAAAAATATCCTGCTCCTCCCCCCTCACCTCGTTCACTCTCATTCTCTCACCTCCTGTCTCGTCAGGACTCTGGTATAGCGCCTCCTCCTGGGCGGGAGGCTCCTCATACATCTGCTCGGCAGAGGGCCGGGAGTTAGGCTCTGCCTCGTACAGCTCCTCCCCATTCTCCGCTGCTGCAGGATCCTCGTACACACCAGAGTCCTGACTCAGCCAGCAGAGGGAGAAACACCGTCAGATAATAGCTCCCTGGGTCAATTCAAATTCCTCCTTAACTGAATGTTTTTCAATTTTGGGGACTTTACCTTCTTTTTCTTCCTCTATGAAAACATCACAGAAAGCATGGTAAGGAAAGTCACAAAGGAAAAGCGAGAAGACTGCGGCATTGGAATAAATCAGATCATCCTTGTTCACGCCAATGTCACTAAACTGCATGAAGGATTGATTTCATCCATTTTTGAAGGATGTACTCATCCATATTTTACTCAGCAAACTAACTACTGGCAAAAAAAAGTGATGAGCATGTAGGCATGTTAAGCAAACAGGCATTTGTGGGAGTGCAGTGAATGGTGGAACCTGTTGTCATTCACCTGGTAAACTGGGTCGGCGGCTGCAGATACAGGCGAAGGTGCGGCTTGCTGGGCAGGGCGAATGGTAGGGCTGGGCTCAGGAGCCGGGGAGGCAGGCTTGGCTTTGGCTGTCTCCTCTATCTTGCGCCGCGCCTCCTCTTGCTCCTGCTTCTCCTTGGCCTGGCGGCGGGTTCTCTCCTCATCCGCCCGCTTCTTGTCCTCCTCCTCCTTCTGCTTGGCGATGTTCTCGAAGCGGGCCTTGATGCTGCCCGTGCTGCTGCCAGCTAAGGAGGGCGGATCATAATCAAACCAGTGGTTCAAATTCATATTTTGCAATGATCTTGACAAACATATCGCACATTAACACACACATGCTGGTTTTGTGGTTACTTACCAGTTTCCACAGGCTTGGTCCTCTGGTAGGCAGGGCTTGGTTTCTCCACATCCTCAAAGTTACCTGCACTCTGCCATTCAAATGAGATGGAGGAGAGTAACTACACACAATAGTTCAGAAATCCCCAGTCTTCAGATATTAGGTATAGAGACAATGTACCTTATCCATTCTGTCCTTCTGGACGCCAAACTTCCCTCCGAACCCATGGGAGTAGTCTGTAAACAGCAGACAATAAATAGTTAGTGTGCCTTTAATTCACAAATTCAATTGATAGTTCCCTAAAGAATCACTTTACGGGTGAACTATCGCTTAAAATTAAGAAAGGGTTAAAGTAAAAAAGGCATGCAGACCTGTGAAAGAGCATAAAATAAAATAAAAATGCTGACAATGGAGGAAGGGTAGGGCTGGGCGATCATTGTGTATTTGTCGGTATCGCGATAAAGATGTGCACTGATGAGTATTTTGCCAGTTGTAGCGTGAATATCGTGGAATACAAGTTGGCTACAATCTGTAGCCATTGTAGCCAACTTGGATTTATGTGTGGTTGCGTTACCATACAATAGGAATGTATTTAAATGTATTTATAATACCAATTATATCCTAGGATCCTACAAGTTTGTTTATCGATCTATATACACACACAAAAGTATGTGGACATCCCTTCAAATTAGTTGATTCGGCTAGTTCAGCCACACTCAGTGTATATAATCGAGCACACAGCCATGAAATCTCCATAGACAAACATTGCCCATAGAATGGCCTTACTGAAGAGCTCAGTGACTTTCAACGTGGCACCGTCATAGGATGCCACCTTTCCAACAAGTCAAATTTCTGCCCTGCTAGAGCTGCCCCAATCAACTGTAAGTGCTGTTATTAAGTGGAAACATCTAGGAGCAACAACAGTTCAGCCGTAAAGTGGTAGGCCAAACAAGCTCACAGAACGGGACCACCGAGTGATGAAGCACGTAGCACATAAAAATTGTCTGTCCTCGGTTGCAACACCTCACTACCGAGTTCCAAACTGCCTCTGGAAGCAACGTCAGCACAATAACTGTTCGTCAGGAGATTCGTGAAATGGGTTTCCATGGCGAAGCAGCCGCACACAAGTCTAATATCACCATGCGCAATGCCAAGCGTCGGTTGGAGTGGTGTAAAGCTCGCTGTCATTGGACTCTGGAGCAGTGGAAAATGCGTTCTTTGGAGTGATGAATCACTGGCAGTCCGACAGATTAATCTGGGTTTGAAGGATTCCAGGAGAACGCTACCTGCCCCAATGCATAGTGCCAACTGTAACGTTCAGGCTAGGCCCCTTAGTTCCAGTGAAGGAAAATCTTAACGCTACAGCATACAAAGACATTCTAGACAATTCTGTGCTTCCAGCTTTGTGGCAACAATTTGGGGAAGGCCCTTAGCCATTTCAGCATGACAATGCCCCCGTGCACAAAGCGAGGTCCATACAGAAATGGTTTGTCGAGATCGGTGTGGAAGAACTTGACTGGCCTGCACAGAGCCCTGACCTCAACCCCATTGAACAGCTCTCATTACGCTTGTGGAATTTCTATTCTTCTTAATGCGTTTGAGCCAATTAGTTGTGTTGTGACATGGTGGGGGGGGTATAGATAGGGGGGTATACATAAGATAGCCCTATTTGGTAAAGACCAAGTCCATATTATGGCAAGAACAGCTCAAATAAGCAAAGAGAAAACAGTTCATCAATACTTTAAGACACGAAGGTCAGTCAATACCAAAAGTTTCTTCAAGTGCAGTCGCAAAATTGATCAGGCACTATGATGAACCTGGCTCTCATGAGGACCTGCCACAGGAATGGAAGACCCAGAGTTACCTCTGCTGCAGAGGATATGTTCATTAGAGTTACCAGCCTCAGAAATTGCAGCCCAAATAAATGCTTCAGAGTTCAAGTAACCGACACATCTCAATATCAACTGTTCAGAGGGGACTGTGTGAATCAGGCCTTCATGGTCGAATTGCTGCAAAGAAACCACTACTAAATGACACCAATAAGAAGAAGAGACCTGCTTGGGACAAGAAACACGAGCAATGGACATTAGACAGGTGGAAATGTGTCCAAATTTGCACCGGTGTAGAAAATAGTAAAAATAAAAAAAAACCCTGGAATGAGTAGGTGTCCAAACTTTTGACTGGTAATGAATGAATGAATGAAAGAATGAATGTATATTATTGCTATTGGTGATGAATATCTATTTTTGTCGATATCGTCCGGCCCTGGGGGTAGTTTGTACAGGGGTGATGTTTTGAAGGGGGACGGGTAAAGGGCAAAGGCGCTTTAGACATTCCAAAACAGTTCTGGGGCAAAAAAATAAACTTTGGAAAGAAAAGGAGGGACGGTGTGTGCTGTGCCTTGCTGAGACTCGTGCTTGGCCAGCCTCTCCTTGTGCTCATAACCCAGGGCACACTGGTCTTGCTTCTCCAGCTCTACCCCATACTGCCCTCCGAACCCACGCTTATAGTCTGAAACAATACAATACACACAAACATATACATATATAGACACACACATACAAACACACAGAGTATATACAGTTGAAGTCGGAAGTTTACATACACTTAGGTTGGAGTCATTAAAACTTGTTTTTCAACCACTCCACAGATTTCTTGTTAACAAACTATAGTTTTGGCAAGTCGGTTAGGACATCTACTTTGTGCATGACAAGTAATTTTTCCAACAATTGTTTACAGACAGATTATTTCACTTATAATTCACTGTATCACAAATTCAGTGGGTCAGAAGTTTACATACACTAAGTTGACTGTGCCTTTAAATAGCTCGGAAAACTCCAGAAAATGATGTCATGGCTTTAGAAGCTTCTGATAGGCTAATTGACATCATGAGTCAATTGGAAGTGTACCTGTGGATGTATTTCAAGGTCTACCTTCAAACTCAGTGCCTCTTTGCTTGACATCATGGGAAAATCAAAAGAAATCAGCCATGAAAAGAAATTGTAGACCTCCACAAGTCTGGTTCATCCTTGGGAGCAATTTCCAAACGCCTGAAGGTACCACGTTCATCTGTACAAACAATAGTGCGCAAGTATAAACACCATGGGACCACGTAGCCGTCATACCGCTCAGGAAGGAGACGTGTTCTGTCTCCTAGAGATGAACGTACTTTGGTGCGAAAAGTGCAAATCAATCCCAGAACAGCAGCAAATGACCTTGTAAAGATGCTGGAGGAAACAGGTACAAAAGTATCTATATCCACAGTAAAACGAGTCCTATATCGACATAACCTGAAAGGCCGCTCAGCAAGGAAGAAGCCACTGCTCCAAAACCACCATAAAAAAGCCAGTCTACGGTTTGCAACTGCACATGGGGACAAAGACCTTACTTTTTGGAGAAATGTCCTCTTGTCTGATGAAACAAAAATAGAACTGTTTGGCCAAAATGACCATCATTATGTTTGGAGGAAAAAGGGGGATCCTTGCAAGCCGAAGAACACCATCCCAACCGTGAAGCACGGGGGTGGCAGCATCATGCTGTGGGGGTGCTTTGCTGCAGGAGGGACTGGTGCGCTTCACAAAAGAGATGGCATCATGAGGAAGGAAAATTATGTGGATATATTGAAGCAACATCTCAAGACATCAGTCAGGAAGTTAAAGCTTAGTCGCAAATGGGTCTTCCAAATGGACAATGACCCCAAGCATTCTTCCAAAGTTGTGGCAAAATGGCTTAAGGACAACAAACTCAAGGTATTGGAGTGGCCATCACAAAGCCCTGACCTCAATCCTATAGAACATTTGTGGGCAGAACTGAAAAAGCGTGTGCGAGCAAGGAGGCCTACAAACCTGACTCAGTTACACCAGCTCTGTCAGGAGGAATGGGCCAAAATTCACCCAACTTATTGTGGGAAGCTTGTGGAAGGCTACCCAAAATGTTTGACCGAAGTTTAAATTGTTTAAGGCAATGCTACCAAATACTAATTGAGTGTATGTAAACTTCTGACCCACTGGGAATGTGATGAAATAAATAAAAGCTGAAATAAATAATTCTCTCTACTATTATTCTGACATTTCACATTCTTAAAATAAAGTGGTGATCCTAACTGACCTAAGACAAGGAATTTTTACTAGGATTAAATGTCAGGAATTGTGAAAAACTGAGTTTAAATGTATTTGGCTAAGGTGTATGTAAACTTCAGACTTCAACTGTATAGGCACAAACAGACATTTACATACAGATTTAAACAAGTACACAGGTCCTGCCGCACTCAGACCAAACACACACACACACACACAGAGACGTACGCACACACACACACATAGCGATCGTGCCTTACTTACTACATACAGTATATAAAAGCATACACACACAGAATAGAAACATACAGAATTACAGTACATAAAACACACATCAAATGAAAAACTTTGTCAACAACTTAAACCAAAAAGAACCAAGGTGCTATGCACATCCAGTAAGTCCAGCCTGAGCGCTAGACTGATCAGTCCTCTGTCTGTTCTCACTTCTTCTATTATGAGCCTGTGGCAGATGCCACGGCACCAGACAAAGGAAATACTTTAACCTCAATGACTCAATAGTAAAACCACAAAATAACCACATCAGTAAAAAGTGTGTTGGGTGGGTGGGTTAGGATGTGAACACATTTCCTGTGTGCGTTTTCCTGCTACTAAGGTTAGGTGTTAGGTGGAATAAAACGTTTGTAAACACAGGGTAAACACAGGTCAAACACGGGTACCTTTCTGTGACTCATGGAGCTGCAGTTTCTCCTGGTGGTCCCATCCCAAGGCCGACTTGTCCTGTCTGTCCGTCTGCACGCCAAACTTGCCACCAAAGCCCTTCACGTAATCTGTGAAGGGCACGGAGAATATCAGCATGGATACTAAAGTGCAAAGTAGGATGTGTCTCCCGAGTGGCGCAGCGGTCTAAGGCACTGCACCATAGTGCTTGAGGCGTCACTACAGACCCGGGTTCGATCCCGGGCTGTCACACAACCAGCCGTGACCGGGAGTCCCATAGGACGGTGCACAATTGGCACAGCGTCGTCCGGGTTAGGGGATGCTTTGGTCGGAGGGGCTTTACTTGGCTCATCGCGCTCTAGCGACTGCTTGTGGCGGGCCGGGCGCCTGCAGGCTGTCGCCAGTTGAACGGTGTTTCCTCTGACACATTGGTGCAGCTGGCTTCCAGGTTAAGCGGGTGGGTGTTAAGGAGCGCGGTTCGGAGGACACATGACTCGACCTTCACCTCTCCCGAGCCCGTTGGGGAGTTGTAGCGATGAGATTGGGAGAAAAAGGAGGTAAAATACAAATAAAAGTGCAATGTAGGTAGGCCCAAGTTGGATAATTCAGTCAATGGCTGATTGGCATACAGTACAATACCGGATAACATTCTGCACTACAAAATGGCTACTGTGTAGGGATTCTGGTACCCGTGTCTGAGCCACCATCTCAACCATCGTGTGACCAACACCTGGGCTGTAAACACCGCCTTGGTGCAGTATGGGTAACAATGGAAGATTACCAGCTGATACACTCAGCCTGGGATTGCATAATCAGTGAGGGAAAGCTAATGATAAGGTAACATTTTTCCAGGCCGTCGGGAGAGCTTGAAAACAAGATCCTACAAGCAGAACTATTTAGCTAGTAGGATATTTGGGGCACTGTAGAGAAAAGCCTGGAAGAGAGAAACAAGTCTGATCAGAGCTGAAGGGGGTGTAGTACACTTGTCAGATATCTACAGCCCCACACTGTCTCTCCTCATCCCACTTGTTACACAGGCACAATAGAAAAACAAGTTAATGTGTGTGTGCATAAGGCTTAGGCGGTACACCATGGGATGGTTTGTCAATACCATTTAATCTATTTCTGTGTTTTAATAAATTAATATTTGTAGATACTTTTTAAGTAAATATCTGCAGTTAACTTGTGCAATATGTTAGGACATAAAGATTGCATTCTTCATTTTACCTGTCACATAATTTTTCATTATGAAACTTACCAGTAGTCCCCAGTCACGTGGTGTTTGTTTACAAGCACAGAACAACGAGACCGGAGCCTTGTGAGTCACTCACTGTTGTGCAGCATGCTCCAGGTGATCTAATTACAGTATGGAATTCATAACTAAATGTTTTGCCAGCTAGATATCTTATAACTATTAAGTTAACTGTCTAAAATGTGATAAATGCTCTGCAGTTGTACATTTAATGTGCTAAGTTAGTAGCTAGTTAGCTATCTGCCTAACTGACTAGCTTCCTCCAAAATCAAGCAGAGTAACAGCAGAGAATCACCTCCTGGATCAACAGCCTTGCTGTCTAATATTTGTTTTGTGCGTGCAGCAAACTGTGAGCAGCATTTGTTTGTTACTTGTTTTGTTTAGGTCAGAGACTGTATACAATGTTCGTAATGTGCTTGTTAGCATTTAATTAGCATTGTCCCTGGGACAATCAGTGGGGTTTGAAAACAGCGCCCCTTGTGTTCAGTGCCGGTATTACTGAATATCCCGGTATTGCACAAGGTCGGTATGAAGGTATGACAATCTGGATACCGCCCAAGCCTTGTGTGTGTGTGTGTGTGTGTGAGACAAAGGGACATACACCTTTCTGAGACTCGTGCTTCTCTGTTTTGCCCTGGTACTCAAAGCCCAAGGCGCTCTTGTCCACCTTGTCCGTCTCCACTCCGAACTTCCCGCCAAAACCTTTGGTGTAATCTGATGATACCCGGGAAAGTGGTTGGGAAAATAGCAGATATAGTTATTCATAGAAAAAAATTTGTTGGGCTTGCCCCCAAGGCAGAGAATTCAGAGTTCAGTCAAAGTCCCATCTGGATACCCATTCTATATCCTATATACACAGGCAAGTGTTATTCACTGTCATACAGTCCAAAAACCATGTTTAGCAAACACTGTACAGCAGCTGATCAAGCTAAAACACAACAAAGCCATGAATTTGGCAGCCTAATATTTAGCAAGAACATTGCAACACTGTAAACCGGTGGGCTTCAACCTTGGTTGTGGAGAGCTACAGGATGTGCAGGTATTTGTTCCAGCCCAGCAATAAAAAACAACATATCATCAAAACCTTAATAAGCCGAATTAGGTGTGTCAGATCTAGGCCGGAACTAAAGCCTGCACATCCTGTAGGGTTGTTCCACGAAATGACTGCCTTTTGCATCCCTTCGATATTTTAAGTAGAAATTGGGCAGAAATATTGATTTTTAAAAGCCTGTTATATAAAAATGAAGTGCCTTTTAAAATAGACCACATGGAAAATTCAATTAATACATTTTTTTATTTGAATAATGGCTTAATTAATCTATTTTTTTATATGAATAAAGGCTTGTTAAAGTGCCAAATTCATCATTTTGATATGTCCCTCTGTCAACCCTGTGTCACTTCTAGGAAGATTTCAACTCACTTAATTACTTTTTTTACCCAAGTTCCCATCACTGTAAAGCCCTAGTTATATTGTTGCTTTGACAAAGTAATTTCTGAAGATTATTTATTTCATGTGATTAATGTACGTCTGTCTCTCATTTTAAGGTTAATGCCAGTACGTGAAAAGAAAACGTTTTAATATGGTGAAACTATTCCTTTATATATACACATATTAATGTTAAATTTTTTATAGAAACACTAAACATCCAATAGTCATGTCAACCCTGTTACACATCCAGGCCAGAATTGTTTTTTGTAAAGCTTGCATTCAATTGCCCCTCCCCGTTGCACATAACAAGCTTCCATTCCCACTGTCACAAAGGGATTCATGGCTGATTTACGATGAAATCGTCAACCCTGTTACTTTATTTGACACTTAATAGGCACTTTCTATAGTCATTTTTTTATGTAACCTCTTGAGATGGGAAAACGTGTTTGTTATTAAGTTTAACATGTGTTCTTTATGACAGAATGCTAAAATGAGGAGAAATCAAAAAGGCACTGAATTGGTGGATCGACCCAGTAGCTCTCCAGGACCAGGGTTGCTGACTACTGCTGTAAAATAATGTAATCAAGGAGTAAAAAAAAAGCTCAGACATCAATGTGGCTGGCTTTGACCTGCGCACGCACACACACACACACACACACACACACACACACACACACAGAGCGTGGGCGGGTGTTTGTGTGGGTAGGGGGGTGCAGCAAGGCAATGATACATACTCTGTAGCAGGTTTTGCCTTCATAAATACTATGTGTGTGAGACACCAGGACAGACTGTATTTCCCTACTTTGCCCTCAGTGTGTGTATGTGTACTCATGTTATGCTACACAAACCTTTCTCGGACGTAACTTTCGCTATATTTTTTCCCCACTAATGCATGTGTGCACGAATGTATGTGGGTGTGCCCATGTACAAATGATGTGTGTTTTACTCGCTACACAAACCTTTCTGGGAGTCGTGTTTTTCAGTTTTGCCCTGGTATTCAAAGCCCATTGCAGTCTTGTCCACGCGGTCTGCCTGCACCCCGTATTTCCCCCCAAACCCTGTGGAGTAGTCTGCACATCAAAGCAGGGGGAGGGGTCAAAGGTCAAGAATGAAGCAGGGAGTGGTGGCTGCAGTGATGAATACTCAATCCAAAATCAACCCCTAGCCCATATCATCTAGGCACTTAAAGTAGTATCTGGTGTAAAATTCAGATTCAGATTGTTTAATAGGATAGGTGTGAGCAATATGGGTACATTTCCACCTAGCCTATCAGAGGGCAAGGTGGAGCTGTTGTCATCTTGCTTACACCTATGTAGTCATTTTAGATCCAAGTGCCTTACGCAGTAGGAGCTAGGGGTTCATTTGGGATTGGGCACATAGCGCTAGCAACTAGAGGGGGGTAAGGAACAATGGTGGTCACAGCACAGAATCACAGGGGTGCAGCTGGAGTGGGGAGCACTGAGAGCTAAGAGCCACCCATCCTTATACCATAAAGGTCTGGCTGGGCCAGATACTATTACATCCAGATGGTCTACAGAGCAGAAACTTCGGAACTATGTGAAGTGTCGAAACAACTAGGGTGTATTCAGAATGCTCAAGTCAGTTTGGCCTTTTACCCCCTGATGGATACAGTTAGGATTTGTGGGGACTAAGGATGGTGAGCTGATCTTAGATCAGAGCAAATTGTGCAACTTCTACCCAGAGTTACAAAACATTGAACTGTTCAACTTGTGTTGTTTGCCCGTTTTAACAGACCGTGTAAAATCACCTTTCTGCGACGCGTGTTTCTCAGTCTTCCCGGCATAGTCAAACCCGACGGCGGACTGAAAAGGGAGAGGAGATCTCCATGTTGATGTTAGCAAAGTCACCAGCCAAAGGAGAACGCAGCATTTCTCAGCACCATCATCCAGTATCTTTTCTTGCTATTCAAATATTCTCATCTAAATGACACACCTTGAGAGATGGGCACTTACTCAAATTCTATTATTTTCATTCATCCTATAAATTGGGTATTCCTATTGGGTCCCTCAAACTATATCTTACAAGGGAGATATGTCCCAAAATGCCACATCATACAGATGTCAAGTTAGCATTCAGACCTAAAATCACTGTGTAGTCATGAGTAGGGTCAGGAGTTTTTTCCTGACCATGTGACCTGACCGTGAGAGCCCAATGTGACCGTGATGAGCATACCTTGTCGACGCGGTCGCCCTGCACTCCAAACTTCCCCCCGAAGCCTTTGGATGTGTCTGTCTGAGAGCAGTGCTTGGACAGCTTACTCTGGTACTCATGGCCCACCGCAGACTTGGAGAGGGAGAGGGAGTCAAAGAGACAGAGGGAGACCGAGAGAAAGAGAGAGGGAAAGAGGGAGAGAGAGGTGAATAAATGCAAACAGTGTGAGGCTGACTGCAGGGTATGCAGTGGTTTGATCAGGTGTTGACAGCTGAGTCACACACAGACACAGTGGGGTAAACAGTGCTGGGTCATAACATTCACAACACACTGACCAGTGTGCTGGCAGAGTGAGGGGGGTGGGTCAAATGGCCCACTGCCTGCTCACGGTCACACATTACACACACATGCATACATATACACGCATACACGGTAAAACAGTGCACACAAACAGAGAGAGAGAGATAGTTAAGAGAGAGCTAGAGCATTGTGGATAACAACACAAGACTCAAACAGCAATGATTAGCTCAGCTGCTTTTGCCACAAATCCCAATCAACGCACGGCAACATTCCTGCGTGTGTGTAAAAGTAAACATATCAGTAGAAGACTGAAATGCAATTGCCAATGTTATGCCAATCAGATCAGGTTAAACTAATTCCATTTCAAAAGAATGTTCCCGCCCTCCCTCTGGAGACTGTTGTAATATCGATCAGCTGTTGGGTCCTGGGCTTTGAATCATTGGATAAGCAGCTTTTCTACAGATATGGTCACCAAAATAAAAAAATACAATCAAATTGCTGTGGTCTGAGGGGCATTTCCCGTTCTAGTAATTCTATTACTATGGTCACCACTCACCTTGTCCATGCGGTCCTGCTGCACCCCAAACTTGCCCCCATAGCCGTCCGAGGCCTTGGGCATGGTGGCCTGCTCCTTCTGCCTCAGGTCACTGTGCTCCGATGACACGTTCTCACGCAGCTGGTGGATACTGGAGAGGGGGGTAGGAGGGAAAAGAGGGGGAGGAGGGGGAGAAATAATGGGGTAAGAATGACTGGGCTTCACTGACCATCCTCAAAAACCTTATGAAAGGTCAACAACAAAAAAAAGTTAACTGAATAATGAAATGACCAAAGACGTATGAATCAGACAGGTAGACAATGTGAAGATCATGATTACAATGACGTTGAGATGATCATGTTTGAAATGGTACTGACGCTGATGATGAAAACTGTTGTTGATAAGGATGATGAAGGCAGCAGTGGTACTCACTTAATGTGTTCCTGGTGACCGGAGCCTTCCACCGTCTTGGCCCCCCACCGCTGCTCCTTCTCTGAAATGTCATTCTGTTAGCACGGAAACAAGGAGCAAGGGGTCAGCGGGGAAGGAGAGGAAAGAGGAAGATATAATAGGGAAAGGGGGGGGGGGGGGGGGGGGGGGCAGAGGAACATGGAGAGGAAGAGGAGGAATAGTAAAAGAAAGAGTGGGCACGGAGTAAAGAGGGAGGAGAGGATATGGTGAGGTGTTAATAAGATGAGAGGAAATAGCAGAAACAGGTGAAAAACATCCATTGCTCTGGACTGAAACCAAAGTGGGACTTCATTACCGTGGTTGACTTACCTCAAAGTCTGGGTCTGTCTCCCAGTCGTCACCTCCATCATCCACCGCCACGGTAACGGACTGACCTGCTGCTGCCTTCCACATCTGGGGAGAATACGCTTGTTATACTGGCTTGCATGCTCAAACATACACACACTTAGCTACTTATGTCAGATAATGTGACTGCCGGAAATGATCGCTCCAAATTTCCTGTGAGCTATTAGTTTCTAACATTGCGTTGGTATATCAATATTCAAACATGCATCTTCCTATGAATTTGATAGGACCTGAAACCCATCTGAATGTCATAAAACATGAGCAGACAATTGAATAACCTAATAATCATCAACCAGTAAGAAGTCTTTAAAAAGCTGGGATGGGGGTATTGTGGTGTATTTTGATTTTTTGAGGCTGCCTTTGGCCATCATCCAAGTCTCAGCAAGAAGGGCAACTTTTAACTAAGGCCTAACTCAGCACAAGACTGGATTCTGTGTTCAATGAGCGGCTAGTACGCAACGTGGCTCCATTCATTCCGAGGGGAAACGGAGGGAGGATGCACCCCGTTACAACATGGGACTCTTTCTGTAACAACAACAAAATGATGTCTTCCGTCTGGCGCTGTTGTGACATACATACATACCACACCCCATATATAACAAAGCCCCTTAAAAAACGTATCAAATAAGAAAGAGGTGCGACCATTGACGGGTTGGTTGTTTAGCTACAAAACCGACGTGTGCGCAACTATGGGGCAAAACAGACGGGGTTGGCTTAGAATGTTGACAACATGTAAACGATATTTCATCTCCAATGTTTATTGAAAACATTTGCACAATAAACACTTCTTTCTCAAATACATAGTAACAATTGTTGGTTAGCTAGCTAGCGAATTTTAGCCATAGCATTGACATCAAACCCGTGGAAATAAGACATGGTATCAAGTCCAGAACAAGACGAAACTAGCTTAAACGAGCCACTTACGATTCCCCACATCGCAGTTTCTTGTTAGCCATCTGGCCATCCAGCATCACAACTACACACGGAAGTCTACCCCATAGAAACGTGCTCATTGACTTTGTCAGCTAAACGATCCATTTAAGCTATTCCAAGTTAACCACAAAAGTCCCTCTTGTATTGCACATTGATGATGAGTAGTCATAGTATTGAAGGCTGCCAGCCACACCAGATTTAGTGTTTAGTTAGAAAAGCTACGTCCATGATACAAATGCAAGACAATTGGCTTAATTAGCTAGCTAGAAATGTTTTTCCAAGCAGCTGTGTTTTCATAATGTAGCTAACTGGACTGTTGGACTGGACCACTGCACAGGGACAATGCAGCAACAACAGCCATTCAAATGTGCTGCCTTGTCAAGTGCACATGTGAGAGATTACAAACAAATAACACTGGCATAACTAGCTTGTAAAGAAGCTACAGTTTTTGATCTTTATCAAACCTTGCGACATATTTTAATTTGCAGTGGTTTAACAGTGGAATCAGAAAAGGGAACGATATATTTCTATTAGAAAATTACAGAAATGAATTTCAAGCCTAGCTAGATTTATACCTACTAAACATGAAGAGGTTCATAGTAATTGTATTTCCTGTTCCAGTTAGCTAGCTCTGCCTTGTCTCGAAAATGATTTAGCCACTGGCACTGGTCGAGCTCGGACTGGTTTTTCCAATTCAGCCTGCATTCCATCCTGCAAAGCGCTCGAGCGCGTAGTAGTTAGAGATACTTTCATGTTTATCGAAATTACTTACTTTTTATGAAAATTCCCTGTTGTCAAAAATATATTTGAGATGTGAAAATAATGCAGCTCTTGACAGTCCTCGGGGTGTGATGGAACATTCCTTTTAGGCCCGAACTCTTCCGGCTCTCCCAATATCCCACTTCCTGCTTGGGGAGTGACGCAGTCTCATAGAGCTAGACAGAGGACTCATCTTTTGCTGCGTTTGCCGCGTTCAGAACAACTGGGAGCTCGGGAAAAAACGAGCTCCGACTGGGAAAAAAATATTTTTATGGCAGACTAGAACCTATTGGTGTATTGCCTCCACCTACTGAGCTGCAAAAAACACTCAAACTGAACAGATTTATCTCCATCTCTTCATTCAAAGACTCAATCATAGACAGAAGATTAAAAGCCATGTCCCTGGTGCTTATGCTAGATTGAGGGGAGTCATCATTGGGGTCCCTATATCTATGTCCATGGATGATATTAAAGAAAATGTGAAGGGAGGAAGCGTGATTGAGGCCAAAAGGTTGATCAGTAGGAAAGAGGGTCAAAGAAGCGAAAACCTATCAGTGCTGCTGAGATTTGAGAAAGTTTTGCCTGGAAAAGTACAGATAGGATTCCTTAGTTTCAATGTCAGAGAATTTGTCCCATCCCCATTGCAGTGTTTTAAATACCAAAGAATGGGACATATAGCTGTTCACCAGAAAGGAAGGAAAATATGTGCCAAGTGTGGAGGGGAACTTGATTACGGTGAATGTGGGAGCAATTTGAAGGTGTTGAATGTGGGGGGGGAACATAGTGCAGCATTTGGTGGATGCCAGGTGCAGAGAGAGGGTGAAGAGGCTCAGAGATATATAATTAGTCATGATGTATCGTATACAGAGGCTGTAAGACAGATTGGTGGAACTACAGTGTGTAATGATGGAGCTTCCATGGCTGTTCCTTTACTAAGTGGACCTACTGTCGGGGCTTGTGTTTCTGCTGGTCCTGGCATGGTTTCGAGGCCTGTTCAGAAATATTGTGCTCATGAATGTGCGGTGTCAAAGGACACTTTAATAATGAACAAAGTTGACTTCATAGCTTTTATTGGTAAGGTTATCAATACGACTCGGGTTGTGGAAAGCAGAAATGCCAGGTTGAAGGTTATTGTGGAGACGGCAAAAGAGGGTAACTGATGTTACTGTTGAAATGGTTGTTGACATGCTGAACAATCCCAAGGGTGGAGTGTTTCAGCATAATATAGATACAGTTTAATGGGGTAGGGGGGTTGGGGAGGGGTTTTGGGGGGGAAGGGGAGGGTGTGGTAGAAGTTAGTAGGGATTTATTTGGTTTTTATTTTATTTTCATGGTAGTACAGAATTGGACAGACCATGATTGATCGTACATTCCAGCACAGTAGGTGGCGGCATGCACTTAAACGATTGTTTGCAGACCTCCATGATATCATAGAAGAAGAAGAAGAAGAAGAAGAAGAAGAAGAAGAAGAAGATGGCGGAAGGGGGAGTGCTGGTTGATGGCATGCCGTTGAGTAAAGTTGGTGTGAGTGAATGGAAGACGGTGACAACGGGAAATGGAGCAAAAAGAGTGAAAGTTGTAAACGAATATCAGTTTCTTGTAGGAGTGTGATTCATCAACAATGATGTATTTCTGGGAGATCCATTTGAGGTCACGAAGATGGTTACGGAGGCATTAGGAAAGGTAGAGTCAGTCAGAGTGACCAGGAGTGGTTTTGATTTCCTACTTCTCAAAATAGGAGAAGGAGAAGGCATTGTGGCTATATAAACTATTAGGAGAGTTTTGATTTTCGGAGCAAAGCACTGATAAAAGGTGTTATATCTAGAGTCTCGTTGGACATTGTGACTAGTTATCTGACGAAACAGATTCCAGGAGTGGTTGGAGCACGTCGCCTAAACCGTGTAGCAGATAGAAAGGAGGAAAGTCAATCGTTGTTACTGATGTTTGAAGAAGAGTATTTGCCTACTCATGTGAAGCTGGGATACATTTACATTTTACATTTTAGTCATTTAGCAGACGCTCTTATCCAGAGCGACTTACAGGAGCAATTAGGGTTAAGTGCCTTGCTCAAGGGCACATTTACGTCATTTAGCAGACGCTCTTATCCAGAGCGACTACAAATTGGTGCATTCACCCTATAGCCAGTGGGATAACCACTTTACAATTATACATATTTTTTTTTTTTGGGGGGGGGGGGGGGGGGGGTAGAAGGATTACTTTATCCTATCCCAGGTGTTCCTTAAAGAGGTGGGGTTTCAAATGTCTCCGGAAGGTGGTGAGTGACTCCGCTGTCCTGGCGTCGTGAGGGAGCTTGTTCCACCATTGGGGTGCCAGAGCAGCGAACGGCTTTGACTGGGCTGAGCGGGAACTATGCTTCCGCAGAGGAAGGGGAGCCAGCAGGCCAGAGGTGGATGAACGCAATGCCCTCGCCTGGGTGTAGGGACTGATCAGAGCCTGAAGGTACGGAGGTGCCGTTCCCCTCACTGCTCCATAGGCAAGCACCATGGTCTTGTAACGGATGCGAGCTTCAACTGGAAGCCAGTGGAGTGTGCGGAGGAGGGGGGTGACGTGAGAGAACTTGGGAAGGTTGAACACCAGACGGGCTGCGGCATTCTGGATGAGTTGTAGGGGTTTAATGGCACAGGCAGGGAGCCCAGCCAACAGCGAGTTGCAGTAATCCAGACGGGAGATGACAAGTGCCTGGATTAGGACCTGTGCCGCTTCCTGTGTAAGGCAGGGTCGTACTCTCCGAATGTTGTAGAGCATGAACCTGCAGGATCGGGTCACCGCCTTGATGTTAGCGGAGAACGACAGGGTGTTGTCCAGGGTCACGCCAAGGCTCTTCGCACTCTGGGAGGAGGACATAACGGAGTTGTCAACCGTGATGGCGAGATCATGGAACGGGCAGTCCTTCCCCGGGAGGAAGAGCAGCTCCGTCTTGCCAGGGTTCAGCTTGAGGTGGTGATCCGTCATCCATACTGATATGTCGGCCAGACATGCAGAGATGCGATTCGCCACCTGGTTATCAGAAGGGGGAAAGGAGAAGATTAGTTGTGTATCGTCAGCGTAGCAATGATAGGAGAGGCCATGTGAGGATATGACAGAGCCAAGTGACTTGGTGTATAGGGAGAAAAGGAGAGGGCCTAGAACTGAGCCCTGGGGGACACCAGTGGTGAGAGCACATTTGCAGTGTCGAATTGCGAAAGGTTTGGTCATTTATCAAGTCTATGTCAACGGAAGCAATATGTTGGTGAAGAAGGTGATGATCTACGGTGTTGTAATTGTGGTGGAAATCACGTTGCTGAATTCCCGGAGTGCCCTGCTAGGGTGGAGGAGTTTGAAGTAGCACGAATCTG